CGGCAATCGGTTTTGCTGGAATTTTGTCACAGCTAGCGAGATCCGGCCTGATTTTTATGTATTTGCTGATCAACTGAGTCCCACAGTCTGATGTTATCAGACAAATATTACAGACTGCATGATCTTACCGTTTGGGGGTGTTCAGATCTTCAAGGCTGTACTCTCGTAGGGAAAATGACGCACTGGCTGATGTGACGAGCCAAATCCCGTAGCCCTAATTCGTAGCTTTCTCCGGCGTAGGGAGAAGTATCTTTTCCGTTTCGCACACTTGCAATGCCGTCATGATTGAGTGGAAATATAGTGTGGCTAGGCATGACGACTGGCCAAGATGTGTCTCCATTGTTTGATGGCAGATCCGGTATGTTGAGCTTCCCAAACAATTGTCGTACTGGTCTTCTGTCAGAACTGTTGTTTCCATAGGGTCCTCTGAGATTGCCAGATATGATCCTTCAGTAACCCATTTGATGGCTTCGGTTGGGTCACGTTGTGGCATAGGTATCACATGGGCCCGGTAGATCTGGAAGGCTGTTTGACTCGATGCGTACGGTATTGCCAAGTTGAGCAGAAGTCCTTCCTCAATTGGTGTGACATCGCGAAGCAGTTTCCCGTCATAGTATGAGTGGATATCGCTTGGCGGTATCGCAAGTGTCAATCAGTGGTTCTCCTCCTTTTGGCTTTTGTATACTGCGTCTATGATCGCCAACAGGGATTCTCGCGGTACCAGAGACATCGGTAGTCGTTGGTCCAGCAGAGTTGGTATCGAGTCTAAGACATTTGTCTTAAAGGCATAAAGTGCGGCTTTGTAGCTTGTTATATCAGCGTAGACAATGTTTAGTAGTGATGCTGCTGTGTCGAAGTTCAAACTTATCTGTTGGTTCGAGAACAATGTTTGTGTGCAGTCCAGCAAGATATGGAAATTGCCTTGAATTGTAGCAAATTGTTCTTCGAGTATTTTCCAATTTCGGTTTTGATTTTCGATGGTTTGTTGTTGAATTGCTCTGATTTCAGACAACTCATTCGAAATCGCAAAGAACTTCTCGTTGCTCGATTTTTCGATTTCTGACACATGATCCGTAAATGCCATTGAGTATTGTTCCAAGGTCTCAATGTTTTTAGCATTTGCTTGAGCCTGGTCCTGGCACGATCCGAAAATTCCCATAAGTCCACATCCTCCTGAATTGCCCATCATTATACCAGAGCCAAACAGACCAATTCCGGCGATGGCCGCTGCCGCAATTAGTGGAGCTCCCCTGCGGGTACGTGTTGAGTCTAGAGGGTTTTTGTTGAGGAAGCGGGAAGTGTCAGTTCTAATGGCTTGGACTTCTTGCTTTGCTGCTGCAGCCTTATCCTCGATCATGTCCAGGAGCCACTCAAGGTTGAATGGGTCTGTCGTTGAATTGAAGTTCGTGGAAAAATCTAGAGGGCACTCTATAGAGGGTGTTCGCCATTTCTCCGAAAGTTTGTTGAGGTAATTCCTCATTGCTGTCTTCATCGTGAAATTGTACTTTGGTAAAGGAATTAGGAACTGGACATTAACAAACTTTTCTGCCAGGATGATCTTACTTTCTTTGTGGAAGATTATCCCAGAAGAAAGAACATCGTCGTAGGATGCCAAAGTACGGCCTATTTGTAGGACGAGAAGCAATAGTAGCATTGTCCCTTCGTGGTCTAGAGTAATTTTCCTGGTTAGTTTTGACAAATTACATGGTGATTTCAATCGCTGGTGTCTTCGTAGATGGTTAAGTAATTGGTATCGTGGTGTCCGAACCAGACCATCGATTGTAGTGCAAAGATTTGTGAAGAGGGCTACTGTGGTAGTTCGAAAATTACGGAGCAATTGATGTCGTCGAGATCGAAGTAGGCGTTTGTCTGCAGGTTGGAAATCGTTTCCGTGAGTTCTGCGGTTGTATTGAAACGGCAGGTAACTATCATGCGCAAATCGGTGTATGCTATGATAATAATTACTAAAGGATCTTCACAAGAAAAGACCGAGTAAACTTCTCCCGATGTGTGGTCTACGTTAGGATCACCGAAGCCAATTAGGTCGATGCTGTACTTCAGCGGCCATACCGATTCACCTGATGTATATCTGCCACAATGAATGATCTTCAGCGGCCATACCGATTCACCTGATGTATATTTGCCACAGTGAATGATCTTCAGCGGCCATACCGATTCACCTGATGTATATTTGCCACAATGAATGATCTTCAGCGGCCATACCGATTCACCTTATGTATATCTGCCACAATGAATGATCTTCAGCGGCCATACCGATTCACCTGATGTATATTTGCCACAATAAATGACCTTCAGCGGCCATACCGATTCACCTGATGTATATTTGCCACAATAAATGACCTTCAGCGGCCATACCGATTCACCTGATGTATATTTGCCACAATAAAAAATCTTCAGCGGCCATACCGATTCACCTGATGTATATCTGCCACAATGAATGATCTTCAGCGACCTTACCGATTCACCTGATGTATATTTGCCACAATGAATGATCTTCAGCGGCCATACCGATTCACCTGATGTATATCTGCCACAATGAATGATCTTCAGCGGCCATACCGATTCACCTGATGTATATTTGCCACAATAAATGATCTTCAGCCGCCATACCGATTCAGCTGATGTATATTTGCCACAATGAATAATCTTCAGCGGCCATACCGATTCACCTGATGTATATTTGCCACAATGAATGATCTTCAGCGGCCATACCGATTCAGCTGATGTATATTTGCCACAATGAATGATCTTCAGCGGCCATGCCGATTCCCCTGATGTATATTTGCCACAATGAATGATCTTCAGCGGCCATACCGATTCACCTGATGTATATTTGCCACAATAAATGATCTTCAGCGGCCATACCGATTCACCTGATGTATATTTGCCACAATGAATGATCTTCAGCGGCCATACCGATTCACCTGATGTATATTTGCCACAATGAATGATCTTCAGCGGCCATACCGATTCACCTGATGTATATTTGCCACAATGAATGATCTTCAGCGGCCATAACGATTCACCTGATGTATATTTGCCACAATGAATGATCTTCAGCGGCCATACCGATTCACCTGATGAATATTTGCCACAATGAATGATCTTCAGCGGCCATACCGATTCACCTGATGTAAATTTGACACAATTAATGATCATCAGCGGCCATACCGATTCACCTGATGTATATTTGCCACAATGAATGATCTTCAGCGGCCATACCGATTCACCTGATGTATATTTGCCACAATGAATAATCTTCAGCGGCCATACCGATTCACCTGATGTATATTTGCCACAATAAATGATCTTCAGCGGCCATACCGATTCACCTGATGTATATTTGCCACAATGAATAATCTTCAGCGGCCATACCGATTCACCTGATGTATATTTGCCACAATGAATGATCTTCAGCGGCCATACCGATTCAGCTGATGTATATTTGCCACAATGAATGATCTTCAGCGGCCATGCCGATTCACCTGATGTATATTTGCCACAATGAATGATCTTCAGCGGCCATACCGATTCACCTGATGTATATTTGCCACAATAAATGATCTTCAGCGGCCATACCAATTCACCTGATGTATATTTGCCACAATGAATGATCTTCAGCGGCCATACCGATTCACCTGATGTATATTTGCCACAATGAATGATCTTCAGCGGCCATACCGATTCACCTGATGTATATTTGCCACAATGAATGATCTTCAGCGGCCATAACGATTCACCTGATGTATATTTGCCACATTGAATGATCTTCAGCGGCCATACCGATTCACCTGATGAATATTTGCCACAATGAATGATCTTCAGCGGCCATACCGATTCACCTGATGTATATTTGACACAATTAATGATCATCAGCGGCCATACCGATTCACCTGATGTATATTTGCCACAATGAATGATCTTCAGCGGCCATACCGATTCACCTGATGTATATTTGCCACAATGAATAATCTTCAGCGGCCATACCGATTCACCTGATGTATATTTGCCACAATGAATGATCTTCAGCGGCCATACCGATTCACCTGATGTATATTTGCCACAATGAATGATCTTCAGCGGCCATACCGATTCACCTGATGTATATCTGCCACAATGAATGATCTTCAGCGGCCATACCGATTCACCTGATGTATATTTGCCACAATAAATGATCTTCAGCGGCCATACCGATTCACCTGATGTATATTTGCCACAATGAATAATCTTCAGCGGCCATACCGATTCACCTGATGTATATTTGCCACAATGAAAGATCTTCAGCGGCCATACCGATTCACCTGATGTATATTTGCCACAATGAATGATCTTCAGCGGCCATACCGATTCACCTCATGTATATTTGCCACAATGAATGATCTTCAGCGGCCATACCGATTCACCTGATGTATATTTGCCACCTGATGTATATTTGCCACAATGAATGATCTTCAGCGGCCATTACCGATTCGCCTGATGTATATTTGCCACAATGAATGATCTTCAGCGGCCATACCGATTCACCTGATGTATATTTGCCATAATAAATGATCTTCAGCGGCCATACCGATTCACCTGATCTATATTTGCCACAATGAATAATCTTCAGCGGCCATACCGATTCACCTGTTCCTATTTCGCATGTCTTAGGTGAAAGTTTTAGACCTGATTTTCGGATGCATTCAATATTTTCTTTGGTGTAGGGATTAGTTCCTGATAACTATTCACCGCACTTCCTATATCATCCATGAATTGGGTACACAGATCAGCTGCTAGGCATGGATCGAGGTAGTGACGGATGAATGAACTGAATCCCGTGACAGATTTACTTAGACCTTGGGCTAGGCATTTATAGGCGTACGTCCGCGACCCGAAGTCAAATGCCAAAAGTTGGACCGAAAGGTCATCTGCCATTTGTGTTTTGTAATTTTTCAAAATTTCGAATTGAGCCTGTCATGCTCAACTTTCTCGCGACAACTATTTAATAAGTTTATCACAACAATGCGGCGGAATCGTTCGAATTTCTGAAAGTTCGATGGAGGGACTACATTCAACAAGTTGTTTTGTTATATCCCAGCGTGGATGCGTACAGTCTAGTAACAAAAAGTTTCCAATTAGGGGGTTAAGGCGCGGGTTTCTTTTTCCCTACTGTATTTATGGAAAGAAGGCAATTCAATTGTTTCCCGCCTGTGAAATGACTAATTCAGCCTAATTTAAGTTCATAGTAAATTGTTTCCCGCCTGATTTAATTGATTTAAGTTCATTTCATTTCATTTCATTTCAGACTTTCATGAGGGTACGGAACACAACTTCCTCGCATCTAATTTTGAGTGTATTCTGTGAGACATTGAGTGTATTGACATTGAGTGTACATTGAGTGTGAGACATTTTGAGTGTATTCTCGACATTGAGTGTATTGACATTGAGTGTACATTGAGTGTGAGACATTTTGAGTGTATTCTCGACATAATCTGGATCTGGAGACAAACAAACTTCCTCGCATCTAATTTTGAGTGTATTCTGTGAGACATTGAGTGTATTGACAGTGAGTGTACATTGAGTGTGAGACATTTTGAGTGTATTCTCGACATTGAGTGTATTGACATTGAGTGTACATTGAGTGTGAGACATTTTGAGTGTATTCTCGACATAATCTGGATCTCTTGCTTTTCCAAACTCATCGATATAGAACGCTGTCAAATCTTAGAACGCTGTCAAAAGGAATTCTTGGAACTGACGGATTCACTTGACGTCGGGGTTTGTGCAGTTGCTACATTGTCCTCTTGCGTTTTAACTTCAAGGTAAATTTTAGCTCAACCTAATTCATCAGACATTCATTTCAGACATTAGCGAGAAAAATCCGAGATACGACAGGCGAGGTGTTGGCTTTTAAGTACCTGCGACAAAGACTGTTTATAAACGTATATAACATTGTTCTTTGTAATTTAATTAAATTCTTTTACAGGTCTTCATGAGTGAACTTATCAAGCTAGTCCACGGGAGCTCGCTGGACCGTAGCAGTACGGGCGTATTCTACGTCACTGCCGGTCAGCGCGTCTCTCTGCCGACACGAAAAGCAAATCAGAAGCCCCCCTTCGAAATTTCGAATTGCTGTCTGCTAATTGAACCATCAGTAAGTTACTCGCTGTACTTTATTGGAAAAGTATTATTCATTGTAAAAAAAATTAATGCGGAATTAGGTTCCTGCAATCATGTTGTGTGAAAACTTTTATAATTTAATGTTCGTTTAGGCGACTTCGAGCAGAAAGTCAAACGATATCTCCGTCCTCTTGGAGTGGTACTGGTCGTCCGACAGTACGTACATCGGCACCAGCAACTACGTGGATGTTGCAACACTGTACATCCCAGATCAAAACGACCAGACCACTGCCCCCCAGACTCAAAGACTGTTCAATGGGCGGACGTTTGCGGCAAGTGTGGAAGGAGGCGACTCCTTTCACTACTGGGCAAACTCAGAATGCTGGAAGGGACGAGTCCTCAAAGCCGGTATGTAAATTTTATTTATGTATAGTTCAGGAAAAGTACTTTATGTATAGACCCCTCTTTTCCGGTGCAATTTGATTTTTTCTTTTTTCCGGTGCAATTTGATTTTTTTTGGACATGAACTCCGATACATATGATCGTTTTCCTCGATAAAGTATCTAGTAAATTATCTAGTAAAAACAACCCACTTCCGAATGTTTCCCAAAATCTTTTTTAGTACATTATACATTATTTTAGCCTCGATTTGTATATATATTATATATATTGTAGACCAGTTTTTAAGCATGTGCCTTTTAGATGACGTAGTTCAACCTTCAGATGAACCAGACCTCGAGCAACCTTCAGACGAGCCAGACCTCGCGCAACCTTCAGACGAACCAGACCTCGCAACTTCTAGCCGTTCCATCGTCGAACCCAACCTACAGTCAGCCAGGACCCGAAACTTGGGTGTTCAGACTGATGGACGGACAGAAGTGGAGGATCTGCGAAGTCAGCTGGAGGAGTTGCGTAGAGAACTGGCCGCTGAACGGAAGGCATCCGACGAACTCCGTTTGCAATTGAGTAAGCTCAAATAAACATGTATCGTCTTCCTCCGTCGCTTGTTGTGATTCTTGAATCGCCCATGTTAATTGATTTAATACGTTTTTTTGGTTTTAAGTTCAGTAAAAACCCGTTTCTTCCCGCCCTGATATTTTTCTATGGTTTCAGGCCGCACTCTCTCAACAACACAACAACACAACACAACAGCAACACAAACACATCTGCCATAGAATGATTGTCAGTGGCTATATTGATTCACCTGATGTTTATTTGCCACATAGAATGATTGTCAGTGGCTATATCGATTCACCTGATGTTTATTTGCCACATAGAAAGAATGATTTTCAATGGCTATATCGATTCACCTGATGTTTATTTGCCACATAGAATGATTGTCAGTGGCTATACTGATTCACCTGATGTTTATTTGCCACATAGAATGATTGTCAGTGGCTATATCGATTCACCTGATGTTTATTTGCCACATAGAATGATTGTCAGTGGCTATATTGATTCACCTGATGTTTATTTGCCACATAGAATGATTGTCAGTGGCTATATCGATTCACCTGATGTTTATTTGCCACATAGAAAGAATGATTTTCAATGGCTATATCGATTCACCTGATGTTTATTTGGCACATAGAATGATTTTCAATGGCTATATCGATTCACCTGATGTTTATTTGCCACATATAATGATTTTCAATGGCTATATCGATTCACCTGATGTTTATTTGCCACATAGAATGATTTTCAATGGCTATATCGATTCACCTGATGTTTATTTGCCACAATGAATGATTGTCAGTGGCTATACTGATTCACCTGATGTTTATTTGCCACATAGAATGATTGTCAGTGGCTATATCGATTCACCTGATGTTTATTTGCCACATAGAATGATTTTCAGTGGCTATATCGATTCACCTGATGTTTATTTGCCACATAGAATGATTTTCAATGGCTATATCGATTCACCTGATGTTTATTTGCCACATAGAATGATTTTCAATGGCTATATCGATTCACCTGATGTTTATTTGCCACATAGAATGATTTTCAATGGCTATATCGATTCACCTGATGTTTATTTGCCACATAGAATGATTGTCAGTGGCTATACTGATTCACCTGATGTTTATTTGCTACATAGAATGATTGTCAGTGGCTATATCGATTCACCTGATGTTTATTTGCCACATAGAATGATTGCCAGTGGCTATACTGATTCACCTGATGTTTATTTGCCACATAGAATGATTGTCAGTGGCTATATCGATTCACCTGATGTTTATTTGCCACATAGAAAGAATGATTTTCAATGGCTATATCGATTCACCTGATGTTTATTTGCCACATAGAATGATTTTCAATGGCTTTATCGCGCAACTTCCAGTCGAACCTCGCGCAACTTCCAGCCGAACTTCCATCGTCGAACCGAACCTACAGCCAGCCAGGACCCGAAACTTGGGTGTACAGACTGATGGACTGACAGAAATGGAGGACCTGCGAAGTCAGCTGCAGGACTTGGAGGACTTGCGTAGAGCTGGAGAACAGGAGTTGGAGGACTTGCGTAGAGAGCTGGCCGCTGAACGCAAGACATCCGACCAATTGCGTTTGCAGGGTAAGCTCAAATAAACATGCATCGTCTTCCTCCGTCGCTTGTTGTGATTCTTGAATCGCCCATGTTAATTGATTTAATACGTTTTTTTGGTTTTAAGTTCAGTAAAAACCCGTTTCTTCCCGCCCTGATATTTTTCTATGGTTTCAGGCCGCAAAAGGCAAATTGACGAGGTGGAAACAGCAGCAGCAGCCTCTCATCATCAACTTCCATCATCAGCAACTTCCACTCTCTCAGCAACACAACAATCATCAATCGATCACAACAAGAACAAGCAGCAGGCCCGGAAACTGGCAACGGACCTCAAAAAACTTTCTAAACCATCACATAGTAAGTACTGTTTATTTGATGCTTTGCTATTATTTTGAATTGGCTCCCTGGTGGAATTCAAGAATATTCCGGGTGCTGAAATACCTTTTTTTTAAAACAAAATATCATGCATTTTCTTCGAAACTTAATCATTTGACAAACCCGCTTCAATGTCGTAATGTTGTGTTTAAAATATATATCGTTTCAGTCACCCTCGACTTTGTGAACGACCTCGCTGATTGTGTCGATGGCTTCAGCGTAGGCGCCATCTGTCTCGTCGCGCAGGAAGTGGGAAAACTGTCCTATTGGTACAATTACTTCGCTGATGCCCGTGCATATGAAAGGGCGAACAGAAAAAAACCATCGTGGCGGCTGCAATTGCAATTTTCCGCCGAGTCTTTCCGCCTAGTCGTCTGCGAGCTGGATGAGCGGGTGACCAACGACAACAGCACCTGGCGTCATGTGGTTGATGCCCAGCTCACCGAACTCCGAAATTCTTTCGGAAAAATCAAAAAATTCACAGAATCAATGCACGCAGATGCTCTCCTCCGCGAACTATACATCAAATTTGTCCATTGGTTCATAAAAAACCTCCTTTAATTGTCTTACTCAGTGCTTACTTTCCTCACTCTTTACTTTACTTTCTTATCTTTCTTTTGTTTACATTATTAATTTGTTAAATGTTGTATTTGTTAAATGTTTGTTGTTATTGTTTTGTTAATGTAATTTGTTTTGTAAATGCGAATTAATTCATGTCTTTTCTGTTCTGTTCTGTGCATTTTCATTATATTTGAATTATTAAAACTTTCACATTTTATTATTCACATTTTATTATTAAAACTTATTATTAAAAAATCTTTGGTCTAACAAATGGGACATCCTACATGAAATTCTCTTGTTTGAGTTGAGTTTGCAGGGTAAGCTCAAATAAACATGCATCGTCTTCCTCCGTCGCTTGTTGTGATTCTTGAATCGCCCATGTTAATTGATTTAATACGTTTTTTTGGTTTTAAGTTCAGTAAAAACCCGTTTCTTCCCGCCCTGATATTTTTCTATGGTTTCAGGCCGCAAAAGGCAAATTGACGAGGTGGAAACAGCAGCAGCAGCCTCTCATCATCAACTTCCATCATCAGCAACTTCCACTCTCTCAGCAACACAACAATCATCAATCGATCACAACAAGAACAAGCAGCAGGCCCGGAAACTGGCAACGGACCTCAAAAAACTTTCTAAACCATCACATAGTAAGTACTGTTTATTTGATGTTTTGCTATGATTTTGAATTGGCTCCCTGGTGGAATTCAAGAATATTCCGGGTGCTGAAATACCTTTTTTTTAAAACAAAATATCATGCATTTTCTTCGAAACTTAATCATTTGACAAACCCGCTTCAATGTCGTAATGTTGTGTTTAAAATATATATCGTTTCAGTCACCCTCGACTTTGTGAACGACCTCGCTGATTGTGTCGATGGCTTCAGCGTAGGCGCCATCTGTCTCGTCGCGCAGGAAGTGGGAAAACTGTCCTATTGGTACAATTACTTCGCTGATGCCCGTGCATATGAAAGGGCGAACAGAAAAAAACCATCGTGGCGGCTGCAATTGCAATTTTCCGCCGAGTCTTTCCGCCTAGTCTTCTGCGAGCTGGATGAGCGGGTGACCAACGACAACAGCACCTGGCGTCATGTGGTTGATGCCCAGCTCACCGAACTCCGAAATTCTTTCGGAAAAATCAAAAAATTCACAGAATCAATGCACGCAGATGCTCTCCTCCGCGAACTATACATCAAATTTGTCCATTGGTTCATAAAAAACCTCCTTTAATTGTCTTACTCAGTGCTTACTTTCCTCACTCTTTACTTTACTTTCTTATCTTTCTTTTGTTTACATTATTAATTTGTTAAATGTTGTATTTGTTAAATGTTTGTTGTTATT